GCTTTGGAGAAGGAGATTTCGAAGACGTTCCTCGAGCTAGCCATTCTCTGCAAGGCGGTTATCTGCTGTGAGTCTCCATGATCCCCACATGACTTCAGTGCTCAGACTGTTCATATGTAGGTCGTGTATCGCCTCTACAGAAAGCGCTGGTGGTCAAGCTTGTCAAGAAGAACCAGAAGTCCATCCTGCTCGCCATCGGGGACGGCGCCAACGATGTCAGCATGATCCAAGCTGCGCATGTCGGCGTTGGCATATCGGGTGTCGAGGTGAGTGCTATGAATCCGTCATGCAGGCAACGTCTAACAAATCCCTAGGGTCTCCAAGCTGCTCGAGCGGCCGACGTCGCGATCTCGCAATTCCGCTACCTGAAGAAGCTCTTGCTTGTCCATGGCGCGTGGAGTTACACCCGTCTGTCCAAGATGCTGTTGTGTGAGTGCGAATAAGGAGTGCGACGCTCTGCAGTGTTGATGACGCCTCCTTTCCGTTCAGACTCGTTCTACAAGAATATCGTGCTCTACATGACTCAGTTCTGGGTGCGTCTGGGACATGACTGCAATATGGGCACTTCTGACCTGGCACGCAGTTCTCGTTCTTCAACAACTTTTCCGGCCAGATCGCGTACGAATCCTGGACACTGTCGCTCTACAATGTCGTATTCACGGTCCTACCCCCGCTCGTCATCGGCGTCTTCGATCAATTCGTCTCTGCTCGGATCCTCGACCGGTACCCGCAACTCTACATGCTCGGTCAGCGGAACGCCTTCTTTACTAGGACACAGTTCTGGGCTTGGGTCGGCAATGCGTTGTACCACAGTCTCGTGAGTTAATTTACTATGTCAAACAAGACCTCCAAGTGTTGACACCGCTCCAAGATCCTGTTTGGGTTCTCTGTGATTCTCTTCTGGGGAGATCTGAAGCAGGCGACCGGGCTGGATTCTGGGCATTGGTTCTGGGGCACCACGTTGTACCTCGCTGTACTGCTGACAGTACTGGGCAAGGCCGCGTTGATCTCGGAGTATGTCGCAGTCCCCTTACCAACCATCGCTCGTCTAACCTTTCGTTTGCAGCTTATGGACAAAGTACACTGTGGCAGGTATGTTGCGCTCGTATTGTCTCGCGGCTTCGGATCATAATGCCTTTGCTTCGCAGCAATCCCCGGATCTTTCGTGTTCACCATGCTCTTCCTCCCGGTCTACGCTGTCGTTGCCCCGGCAATCGGATTCTCGACCGAGTACCAGGGCATCGTCCCCCGTCTATGGACAGATGCTGTCTTCTACTTTGTACTTCTGCTCGTACCTATCGTATGTTTGACGCGCGATTTCGTCTGGAAGTAGTGAGTTCCATCTTCCCCCGTCTTGTGAGATTGCCTATTGATCAATTCTCTCAGTTACCGGAGAACGTACATGCCGGAAACGTATCACATCGCACAGGAAATCCAGAAGTACAACATCCCGGACTATCGTCCGCGGCAAGAACAGTACGTCCACGAGTAATGACCGGATCATCTCCGTGACTGAGTTCTTCCGATTCAATAGATTTCAGAAAGCGATCAAGAAAGTCCGTGCGGTGCAGAGAATGCGTCGCAACCGCGGCTTCGCTTTCAGTCAAACGGAGAACGCGGCGCGACAGGACCAGGCGCGTCTGATACGAGCCTACGACACGTCCAAGACGGGCGCCCGACCGTCGGGCTACTGATCGGGGCATCATGCGTTGAATACAGTCTTGCTAGTCTATCATTATACGGACATGTAAATCTACGGTAGCCTTCGATTTCCGGAGTAATTGCTTGTAGAACTCACAGTATCAGGTCCCGAGTCCTTGACACTGTTCCTGTGTCGCTTACATACCGCCCGCAGTCGAGACCGACCCCGACCCCGACAGCGGCGAGTTTGTTGGCCAGTAGCATCACACAATGGCCGTCAATGCTCACCGCAATGGCAAGCCGCTTGAGTACGGCCGGTAGCAATATATGGCGCGACACCTTAATCGACTGCATCCGAGGATGTCAACGGACACCTAGTAACTTATGCCAAGAAATCGAGGTTGCTCTGCGTAGCTACCACGATACACGAAAGAATTCAAGTGTACCCTCCAGAACCTCCTCTCGACGCCAGGATTGGGGACGTTGGCGAAGGCATGGGCGATAATGGAGAGCGTGGCGAATCCATCCGCAATCTGATGACTCCCGATTGATGATTCCCAGCACGCACGCGCGGCGAGGTGCTCGCATGCAGAGGAAGTGCGTGCTTTTTATCCAGTCGACTGGCCGTCGCAGCGCCTTCCCGTGGGTCCTCTGCGTGGTCAGATCCAGTCGGACTGGGAGAGCGGGAGCGAACAATGTGGACGCGGCTATGAGCACGCTGCGGGGAATGCCCATGGGCCGGGCTGACGAGCCTGGGTTCAGATCCAGGTCCCGGTGCAGCAGCGTATGCGGGCCCGGATACATCGAGGGTGACGGTATAGGTTTTGCAAGGGATTCTGCGAATAAGCTCGAATCCCTCGCATTTCCTGAAGGATACCTCGACATGCCGGCGGTCGTCGCCGAAAGTGCAACGAATCATAGCATGGTCTCCACGAACCATCGTGAAATTGATGTGCGACCTGCTGCATGCCGGCGCCTGCTCTGGGCCAGAGAGCTTGGGTAAGGCCTCCCACTCGTCGCCCTCTGCTGTTGATTGCGCCACTCGCATCTGCACCCATAGTTTGTGAAGCGGCGCGCCGTGAACGCCAGGATATGGCACCATGAGGCAGAAGCAATTCCCCAGGCCGATCCGGACGACGAGTCTCTCCTTCCGAGCCGCATCGACGAATGTGGCATCCGCGAAGACGCCGTCTTGCACTTGGTCTGCGGTAAGTTGACAAGGCACTTTCAAGACGGCGCCGTCAGATCCGCGCTGTGTGCATACGAGGCCGTAGCGAGACTCGAGCTGAGTGTGAAGCCAATGCGGGAGGATGAAGGTGAAGTGCGGCACCGGCGCCATCACCTCGTGGATGGGGCCGTCCGGGTGAAGCTCGCGGACGTCCTGACCAGGCCCTTGGTGATGGACGTAGAGCTCGTTCAGTACGAACTTCCCGTAGCGGAAGCTCTGCTTCTTCGTGCCGCGTATGTGCCCTTCCATGAAGGGCTCCTGCGCCTCTTCATGCTCGGAAAGCACAGCATCCTCGTACAAGAGGCGGCTGGCGTTGAAGAACGCCCCCCGATAGTAATGCTGGTCTTCAGTACCATCGACGAACTCGCCAACGGCATACCGGGGCCCAATTGCCTGATTAGCGCGCCGGAGGAACAGGATGACGAGGTCTCCTTTGGCGTTCTCGCAAGCCAGGAGAGCGAGTCGGACATGCTGAGTGGTGGCAGTTCCCGTGCGTGCGATCCAGCTCTTCCATGAGTCAACGGCGCCTGCAGAGATGGGGAGTGTGACGTGTATGCCATGGCTTGTGAGAGCGTAGTGCGGGATCTTCTCCTCGAGGCCGAACGTGGTGGCGAGATTGCCCAGGCTGACCGACTTGTAGCCTGCGGACTTAACGAAGTCGGAGGGAGAAGGTGCGAGCATATCCTGCAGTCTCGCCTGTGTCCCCAAAGCGACATCTCTCTGGCTGTTATGTCGGTGCCGCGCACTGTCGTCGATCTTGTCGTTCTCCATGAGATGACGCGCGACCTTGAGGTCGGCGTGTAGTGGACCCCAGGCGAAGATGCTTTGATCAGGAATCTGGCGAAGGATCTCCTCCTGAAGACGAGCGAAGGCCCGCAGGCCTTCTCCGTAGATAGTGGGCATATTGATACGGAAGATACCTAGAAGAGAGTACGCGCGATCTTCTATGCGCGTAGTCTGACGCTTCGAAGCCCAAGACATGCGCTGCGCGACGCTGATGCTATCCAGTGAGCGTTCGTGGGTCAGGATTTCCTTCTGGACAGCGGTGACTTCTTCGACGACGCTCGCGAGCGTATGTTTCGAGCCGAGCGTGCGCCACGTCTGGGATAAGAAAACAACGCGTACGGGGGCAATGAGCTCCTGAAGGGTCCATCCTCGCTCGTACCACCGACTCCGCCGGAAGGCAGAATCGCGTGAGCTTGGATCCTCGTGGTCCCCGACATCATACAGATAGGCGTAGCAGACGTCGGCGTCAGCATACCAGGCGAACATCGAGTTGATCGCCTCGGAGAGCTCGGCGCTGCTGTTGTGATCGATGCAGCAGGTATCGATCCAGACCCAGGCATAGCCTGCGCGTTCTGCGAAGATGCAGCAGTTGCGAATTTTGGGGGACATCCGGTCTCGCGGATTCTCTCCCGACAGTGCGCATTCGGCACCGATAGCTTGAACATCCCTGAAGGAGAGCTCGTTGCGGACGTCCTGCCAGACATGAGAAAGGATGGCGTAGCGAAGATCCCGAGAGCGCAGGAAGTGGTGCAGCCTTGCGGTTCTGGTATCCAAAAGGTACATCGCTTGAGCTTGACCAAGAGCATCAGTTCTCGTCGTGACGGGACCAGGGCGCAAGAGGTAGCTTACTTGCTTCTCGCCGAGTACACACTCGATCTCGCTGGGAAGTGTGGTTATGAGACACCGGACGCAGAGGTGTATGCTGGAGAGGTATCCAGGATGCAAGTTGGGGGCGACATGGCGGAATCGATCCTCGCACACAGGGCGTCCAGATATGAGAAACCGCATACCACGCGGCATCTCTACCACATGGGACAGGGGTGCGTTGGGACAGTTTCAGCTTTCAAGGACGATCTGGACTAGCTTCGGCGTCCCAGGCTGCATTGCCTTGCTACAACCTCATGGTCAGAAGCACGAACATGTGCCGGTACGGTCTACCAGTGCGAAATCAGCGTTGTGTTCCGACCTCGAGTGTGGAGCTGATTCACCTGCGCATGAGCTTATCGTCGAAGGCATGAAGCGATTCGCAGTTTACTATACATGTGGCTGACTCGTGCGGAGGAGTTGGGTGACGGCGTGCGCGAGCCGAGCAGCAGGGGGAAATGCTGGACTGCAGCCGGGGCAGGGTCCTGTAGTGTAGTGGTTTATCACTTGGGATTTTGAACACGCTCACCGGACTGGCTCTTCCCATAACCCAGGTTCGAACCCTGGCAGGACCTGCTCGCTTTTTCTCTTTCCCCTCCTCGGCGACGTACTGATGGTTCATTCAGGTGCCTACTATTCGTACAAGCAATCCGTCCTTCGCCAGGCGGTCCTCGTCCCGCAAACAACGTCGTCCCGACCCATCCGCACCCACACATCCGAGTTGCCATCAGTCCAGCTGGCAAACGATGCCACCCTTGGTCATGTTCCACCCCAGCTGGTCGTAGGTCCATCCAAGTATCGTACCATCTGAACTATACTCGTGATACTTGAGCAGAGACCGATGCATCCCCGGTTTCTTGTGAATCGCATTGAGAGTAGCCATCTCCTCGTCCGTGAGGTCGAGCAACTATTTGGAATTAGCAGAAATACGACGGTAGACACCACAGGGCGACCGTAGACGATATTCTGTCAGCGATCTGCCTGGTCGGCGATCGCACAGACGACGTACCGTGATGTTCTGCTTGATTCGCTCTGGATTCTCGCTCTTGGGAATCACCGCGGTGCCGCGCTTCACCCCCCAACTCAAAGCGACCTGGCCAGGCGTCGCACTGTGGCTCTTTGCGATGCTGACAACGTCCGGGTCCTCCAGGAACACCGGCTTCCCGTCGTACTCTTTAGGTCGACCTGCATGTCCCGGTCAGCAAAGCTTCGCCATACAAGAGTCCCACGGACGCGAGAGCACCTAGAGGCGAGTAGGCCGTGATCAGGATCCCTCGCTTCTCGCACCAGGCTTTGAGGTCGACGGAAGGCAGGCATGGGTGGCACTCGACCTGGTTCGTCGCAGGAACGATAGAAGACTCGCGCAAAAGGACCTCGAGCAGCTTGATTGAGAAATTCGACACGCCGATGGACCGAACCTTGCCGGTGTCGAGGAGGGCCTCCATGTCCTTCCAGGTCTCGACGAACGTCGGGCTCTGTCCGTATGGGATTGGTTTGTTGTCCTCGGTGTACGCCTGCGGCCAGTGCATGAGGTAGAGGTCGACGTAATCGACGCCGAGCTTGGCGAGGGACTCCTCAAACGACTCCTTCACCTTGTGATGGTGGTGGTTCGGGAGCTTGGTAGTGAGGAATATCTCCTCGCGCGGGACGCCAGACTCGCGGATAGCCTTTCCGACGTACTCCTCGTTGCCATATCCGTATGCCTGCGATTTGGGCCGGCTGTCAGCTCGTACCGGAATACTGCGCAATCCGCGCGCACCGTATCTATGTGCCTATAACCCGACTGCACGACTGTCAGAGAGTCGGAGCGTGACGCAGGCTTTAGGCTAACCGCACCTGCAGCGCATTCCTGCACATTTGTTCGGCGACCTCCCCGCCGCCGGGCGATCCCATCCAGCAACTGAAGAGCAATATGCTCATCAGCATGGCAGGCTCGATGTGGATACGAGACGTCGACCATAGCATCCAGTATCGATCGCAGGGGACTCGGACGACGGGGGACCTACGGTCACCAGTCCGAGATCGTGAATACTCACCCTATTCCTACCGAAGGCATCTCATAGCCGGTATTAAGCGTGAAAGCGGGTATCTTGGCAGCCATCCCTGGGGTCGGGCGAAGCGAGAGGCGGACGTTGCGGGAGATCTTGGAGATGAGGCAAACGGGCGACCAACTTTATACGCGGCGAGAGTGGGGGCTGCGTTTATGACCTGGTCCGCGTCCTGTGGGTGACTTCATCGTCTCCTGAAGGTTCCTGAATGCGCGGACTCCGGACTAGGTGCTGTTGCTGCTTCGCCGGTCCGCTGTTTTGGCACGGAGACCAGCTGATCGAACACGGGCCGGCAGCATAAATAGGAGGCCTTCTGCACACTCAGACTGCGGCGTCCCGACTGAGCAGAGCAGCTCCGAGCGTGCAGTCGTCGTGCTCTCGTGGCTGCCCCGACACATCGATCGGGTAACGGGAGTCGACTCGGAGTTGAGCGTACCACAAGTACTACTGCCGCCGCAGCGGACAACCGCGCTCGTCCCGTGACTCCCACCGCTTGACGCAGCTCAGTGTGCATGAGCTTTGTATGAATTCCAATCGCATACAAGTCCTACATAGAGCATTGCAACTAGGCTCGGTCCCCGTCAAGCAGGATACGCAAGGCTCAGCTTCGTCAAATAATCCATCGCTGCAGAACGGTAAGTGTCCTCGGTAAGAGTGAGCGGTACGTCGCCGTCTTGGAACACCAGAAGCTGTGGATCCTCGTTCATATATCTCGGCCAGTGGAAAGCCCCATCGCCATTCGGGTCCAGCGTCGTTGCGAAGCGGATCAAGTAGTCCGTCATGTCCCCTCCGCCGTAAATGTTGGGCAGCTCAGAGCCATGTGCCTGGCAGAGAAAGCGCAATTTAGCTCCGTACAGATACCACGGTTGCGCTTCACTTACAGCTCCAATGCCCTTGATTTTCCCGCCTTTATTCACTGTATCACGTTCAAGACCCTGCTCGATACCTCTGCCTCAAAAAATCCGCGTACAGAATGCATACACCCGCTGCTTCTTCGCCAGCTCTCTCGCAAAGAGTCGCCGAGGGGCTTGCTCAATCCAGTCGCCTTGGAATGCCGAGATGCGCTTGTACTGAGGCGAGTACGCGAATGCGTCACCGGTTCCAAACGGTGAGCCTTTGGCTGGGTTCGCAGGATACAAACCCAAAAGCGCGGCAAGATCGGCTCTAGGGGCGCTGGGAAAGAAGTTCGAGGACACGTAGTCAAAGAACTCGTGGTCGATTCTGCGCAGGACGGTCAGCTATAGACAACTCGCAGACGAGCATGAATACCGCATCTTACGTCACATTCAGCGAGGGGAATGCAAACGCGCTTCCTTCGTCTTCGTCGTTTCCTGCAAGCGATGTGCCATATTGAGGATCGAAAATAGGCATAATAGAGCAACAAGCGCGAAGGGACTGACCGACTACAACTGGAATCCTGGCTACGGAGCCATTGAGGAGCAAATGTTGCGGAGGTTGGGTCACGAAAACCCCATCAGCGTGAGCGTTCCAGGGCGTGTTCACTTGCTGAGTAACCCATCAAGCTTGGACGACAAAAGATGCTTCATGAGCATCACTCACAACGTAGTCAACAAATGATGGCGACTTGTCCATGGCGGCCTTCAAAACCTCCGTAGGGACCATCCGCAGGCATTCCAGAGTGTCCTCAGCGGAGGCGCACCCCGCGTCGGAAACGATTTGATCGTAGGTACCCTGAACTTCAAGGATATCACCATAGGGACCAGGCGCCCCGGACTGCAGGAATCCCGCGCGGAAAAGTCCTTCGGTGTCGCCGCCATTCGCCATCATCTGCAACGCGACGGATATGGCGCCAGCACTCTGTCCCCAGCTAGGCCGAGTGTCACTTGAATTACGGTCACGTTGCATGGTCGCTTAGGGGCAGCTTACATCGTTACCTTCGCAGGGTCCCCACCAAAGGCTGAAACGTATTTCTGGACCCATCTCAAGGCTTCTCTCTCTGGAGACCGTATGCCTAAGCAGTGCCACCGACTCGGATTATACAGGAGAGAACCTACGATCGTGAAGGCCAAGATTGCCGACACCGGCCTCCTTCACCTCTTTTCCGCCGAGGAACCCAAAAGCTAGAACAGCGTCAGGAAGGTGTTCACAATACGCGGCGGTACGCTCAGGCTCACCGCTCAATCTACGAGGACCCACGTATCAGCCTAGAGCAGCAGTAAAGGGGCGCGCACACCTACCGGTAGTTCATCGCGACATACACGACCGGATGTCCTATCTTGATCGACCGCTTTACAATGGCATCTCCAGGCTCGCTGGAGGAAGCGGGAGGTGAGTATATCGTTCAAGATTGGTGAATGAGGGCGTCGCACGCAGCATTGGACCCATGCTGGTATCCGCCTGCACGCTTAGGCTATAAGCCATTGTTCCGACATTCACGTTGTCGCCGAATACACACCTCCATAGATCCACTACTCACTGTCATGTTATCACAGCACGATACCCCATGAGATGTGACGGACCCACCACGAGGACGGGTAGCTTCGATTCAGCGGTTGCGTAGGACGGTGTGATCACGTTCAGGTTGAGGCCTACGGAAGACGTGAACATCGAGGCAGAGCAGACCAGAGGCGAGTTCACAATCTTCGCTCTGCGGGACATCCGCGATACTAATGAAATCCTCCAAGTACTGCTGCGCCGGTAAAGGAACCTCGGCTGGAATTGGTGGGAGTGCGAAGTCCTGCTGTATACACTGATTACCGAACGCGGTCGCATTCACCAGGCCCGCGTACGGCGACACAGGTTTGGGAAGACGCAGCCTCAAATTCCCGACGCTAAATATGCGATAGCTATGAGTTCTAGCACGAGCGTGACAGGATGTCTGCTTACGGTGGTTGGGCGAACGGGATGCCAAGGAAGCGCGCCGCGGTCCCGTTTGAGGACCCAATCACTGTCGCGTTGTCCATTATGATGATCGGCCGGGGGGAAGGACGTGAAGGTGCAGCGAGAGAGACTGCAATAGTCAAGGTGAGAACGCAGGCAAGGAGCATGGTGATCGCTCGACGGACTACGACGGGTTGCGCACCTAGTAGTCTCTATATATCGGGTGCAGCGTCTCGAGACACCCTAACGCTGAACTTCGATGTTTGGTGCCTGGGCACAAGATCAGACGACCCCATAGAGCACTGAGGCCCTGTTTCAGCCACTCCCTCCTTCAGACATATCGATACACCAGGACACAGTACCGTACTGATTCCTGTATGAGGTAGGTGAGTACTGTTCACACAGCGCTCAGGGCTTACCATGGGTTCGCTTCGTACGAAGGTGGAGAACACTGCAGGGATTGTAGTCCATCCGACCGCGTTACCTGGGAAATCCAGGTCCACGAAATTGCAGACTCAGTCGCATGCGCGTCGGATACAGGACAAATTCTTGCACGCTGAGCCGATTTATCAACTTCCAGGAGAGCGAGGCGACGAAGATACGTTACTTACGTTCGCATACAAGCCGAGGAACGCCCCCATTGATAATTCCCGATCGCAAATTCCTCAGACTCACGGACCGAGTTC